CAGAGTAATTACCATGCCAGCACTGAACTCCACAATGGACTGCGACTCAGTTTCACCATTCGATTCTATTTCAAAATGCACTTAATATGGAATTTCAAGTTCAAACATGGCCTATGCTTTTCGCATGCTAACCGATAGCCGGTAAAGCATTTAGCCATTTAGTCAAGCGGCACAAAAATCCATTTGATCTGGCCGTTTAGTTGCTGGCGGCGGATGATGTCATCTGCCGGCTCAAATGGCACCCGAGAGATCAAAGACTGTCAGATTGGCAAATCTTTTCACAAAATGTTTTGTTGCCCGCTAATTTCTACTTTAACTAATTGAATTATTTATGTGCGAGCGATGCAAAGCACGACTGCAAAAACACTGGGGGAAATACATGTAAGATATGATGCAGGGATTTAATTGGGGAAAATAGTCGATTTGGTTCTTATAATTCTGTTAGATTATAAAAGACTGAATGATCAATAAATTTCTCAATATAAAATATTATCTGTTCATAAAAACACCAGAATGTAAAAAATTAATTAATTTTAATTATATTTATCGAATGCCGATGTACAGAGAAGGCAATTGCGGTTGAAACCTTACTTTTAGCTCTTAACTAATACTGAGGACTATCCAATTCTAAGGCTTCAAATTGGAAAACTCTCTAAAAACTTTTCGCTAAGTGCACTTACAAAGTGGCCTAACGATTTGCACACCATTTTTGGCTGTTATCCCGCGTGCGTCGTCTGCGTTTCACAGTCAATTTGCATATGTCGATTGTCGTTGCAAGAGTTTCGAGTTGCAAGTTGCAAGTTGCCTGCCATTTGGCTTCAAATGTGGCCTGCTGCTGATCTCGGATGTTGGCCAGATCTGTGGCCAAATTATGTCGTTATTTGTGCCATTTTTGGCAAACGCCTCCTCCGCCACCGCCACTGCAGTCGATTCATCGTCAATGATAAATTCCATGCACTTAGAGCTCTCCTCAGACTGTCTGTCAAGGAGTATGTCAATTGCCTTGCTAATGGCTGCCAATGGAGTCGAGGCGATTGGGGCTGCAGTAAAATCCTCTTAAAGTGTTGTAAACGATGCTCGGGAGACGGCTAACGAGCCGAGTCGGATTCGAAGCGGCGGAGATCTTGGCATTTATCATAAATTTCATGGCACTCGCCTCATAACTGCACAGCAACAAATTTCAAATTTCAAAAAGGGAGGAGTGATGGGGGATTTGTGTGGTTTCCATTGCCATGTCTCAAGGCAATAGGAAGCAGCAAAGTGCAACAATTGAATAGATAATAACTCACGCCCCACCTACCCACCCACCCATCGAAGCCAACCAGGCAAACCAACATAATAACCAAAATACTAGCCGAAAGCCACTGACCGTTGACCACAAAAAGCCCCTATAAAAATAGGATATCCCAATAATTAAATGCTCTACAAAGTATTGTGTTAAAAAATTACGTTTTAATTTATATTATAATTATAAACCATATTAAGTGTGTTCGTTTCTTAAGTCTTTATTCTTGTGTAAGAAATTCAAAGTTATTCAGTTTTACCCACATAAAAAGATACATTTATGGGATCACTTAAATTAACTTCCAAATATTGAAGATGGATAATTTGTTAATTAATAAAAAAGTTAGTGTGTTAATGTAATGTATATTTGTTATTTATACCCCGGTTTAATAGGTTATAGTTGCAAAATCCTGAAACATTTTAACAAGACTGACTTATATTATTCTAAGAAGTACCAAATTCCACGCAAAATCGAAATACCCTCTTCGTAGCGTACAAATAAAAGCAACAACAAGGCCTGTTACTGTTTGGAGCTGGCGCTGTCATATTCAAATTGCTAATATGATTGGTGTTTACAGATTAGAAAACAAATATTTCACAAATATTACCACTAATAATTTTGCCATGTAAACATGGAACGGAGGAGAGATCGGCGTCATGCCCACAACCGCGATCGGCGTCATTATCATCGTCGTGATGATCATGCCACATCATGATGAGGCCGTATAAATGCGGCAAGTGTGGCGATAACCTTTTGACTCCATCCGGCGGCCAACGGGGGTAAGGGATCTCGGCCTGGACTGGGTTTCGTTTTGTGCTAGTGCAAAACTGACAAATTGAATGAATAAAAGAGCAACAAGTGGTCTTGCGGCGGGGCTGGTTAAACATTTTGAATGAAAATGCCGCAGTCGAGTCGGCCAGAGAGCATGTGGCATGTAGCTAGCTGTGGCGGCCGAGGCGCAAAAACATAAATCGAAACACTTGCTGCGTGGCTTACACTGAGGGAAAATCAATGCAAAAAAACTTGGGGATTATCATTCCTTAAGGGTATTTTCATTAAGTAAAAACGATCCATTTTTGCCATTTTTGCCATTTCCAGCAGCAAAGCTTAATTCTTGCAAATGTTTTAAGATCTCAACCATTGTTTATATAATAAAGAACTTTGGTTTAGTTTATACTAAGCAGTTTCTTAATATTGCGAGAATTTGACTTCTAATCCCTTTTAATGGTTTAGTTATATCAAGAAAGTTGTTCAAAATTATATTGGTACTAACAAATTTAAAATTTAGTAAATCAAATAAAACACAACTAACAACCAAAAAAGCTATAGTATTCATATAATATATAACTAATTTATGGTGTATTTTTTTTAGAGTTTAGAGTCCCCTTCCTCGTACTCCCTGCCTTGGATTCAACCGCCCACCGTTGGCTCAGCGGGCTGTTGTGTTGGTTTGCCCATTTGGTGGCTTGGTGCCTTTGGTAGGTGTTGCCTTGTGCCCCGAACTCAAAGTCTGTTTGCCTCACCGCTCTCGCTGCAAAATGAAGGAAAAAACCCAAAGAAACCAAGGCGTTCAGAGCCTGGAAATGAAGTCGAAAATTGCAATTCCAAAATGTTTGCCCTCGGCTACAAAAAACGGGCAACAACAAGAATGGAGTGCAGTGCATTGGAGTGGTCAGTCATGTGGCATCTATTCGAATTCGTACACATGTGGCATGGGTCCTCGGCATAGAGCTCTTCCTGCCTTTTGGCCTGCCTGGATTTGTGGCAATGTTTTCTGTGGTGTGTGTCGTTTAATGCGTGGCCGCCTCGCTAGGCGCTTTATTAATTCACTCGACGGTTGTTTAATATTTTTACCTCTTCGCGATACTCTCATTTAATGGGTTATAATGATCGTTGGGATCGTTTTGGGATCGCTATTCTCTAAATTTTTAAATAGTTTAAAACTAGTTTTTTCTTTTTCGATGGTCCTCTTAGTCCAATCCACGATTTAAAAATATATGACTTAAAATATTTATTGTATAGATTTGCAAAAGACTAAATAAATGGTCTGTAGGAACAAGAAGTAAGTATAAAATAAATAGAAATATAATAAATTAACAGGATAAGCAATATAAAATATATGTCAATAAATGGTATCTGTAAAGTTTGTGACGAGGAGTAACCATCTTTTGTATATAGAAGTTTTCTGTATTTGAAAATTATATTGCTATTATATTTTTGGTTGTTGATCATAATATTATTACAAGTGTGAGTAATCTGGTAATAATAATTTATTTTAAGCTAGCTATATTTTTTCAGATTATATCGTTAGAACAGAATCCTGAATTGGATTTATGATATAGAGCATTTGTTAATCGACTTTTGATGCATTTTTTTAAAGCTGTCTCTTTTGTTGCGGGTGCGGACCTGCAATGGTTGTTGTTCCTTTTGTTCGTTTCGTTTGTGGCATAAATCGGCCCCAGGTGTCTCGACGAGCATTTCCCACGGATTAGTGCATAAATAAAGGAGGTCAGAGCGGCCCCAGAGTTAACTAGATATTTCAAGTGTTGTGGCACAGGGGTCGTCTTTGCCCGCCATCCTTTCTTCCTTTTTATTTCTACCCCTTCAAATCGCACCGGTGCACCATTCCTTTTGGCAATCGGGGCAAATTGCTTTATTAGCCCCTGTCGATTGGTATAACAGCTTAATTCCACCAAACTTTCAACTCAAGGTGGTCCTTTGGCATTTCCTTTAGCTCATTAACACCCCCTGAAAAAAATGTGGAAAGAAACCTTCGGCCTGAAGCCACACGCAGCGGTTCTCACGCTGTAAAACAAAAGCAAAAGGCTCGACTTCAATTTAAGATTAGCAACAGTTAACACACAAAGGAATTGGCGGAAAGGCACCGGGATCTCATAATGATAATGCCTTTAATAACAGCGGTCATCCTGCGCAAGGACCACACCAAAAGTCAGCCAGCCCGCTGATAAGATGGCCAAGTGAGCGGTCTGCGTGCTGGCCAAGATCCCTCCATCGATAATCGCGCATTAAGCGTGCGTAAGTCACGTCACACAGAAATCGGAGTGGCCACCAAGGGGTTAAGGTGGGGCCAGGGGGCATCATCCCGAAGACCGGGCTGAAGATGATCCGCAGATGCCGGATCGGGAAGACCTTGCCCTGGGTGCGATCGCGATAAGCGCGACTTTTGCCTCGGTACGTGCTAAACCCTCGGGCTGCGATCATTTTAATTATACCCCATATCGCCAGGGATTGGCCACGCCCATCGGCTCGATACAGCCCCCTCCTCTTGCCTTTTGGGACCGGGGTCAAGCAACGCAAATTACAGGCTGGGTCAATGTTTGTTTTAGCCAACCATAAATACTTAATTTGGCCAACGGTTTCAAGCTGACGAAAGCCTCAAAAAAGAAAAGAAGTAAAAGGAAACAGTTCGGTGGACTAAAACACCGAATCTGAAAATACTCTCATAAAATGTGCATCGTTTAGTTGTGTATCTTATAATTTAAGTGCCAAAGAAAACATTTTAAAGATTCAAAGCTTAGATAGTATTATTCTATGTTATACACAATTTAAAAATTCAAATTTGTTTTTATTTTTGGAAAGTTCGTTTGCAACAATGGGTAAGAAATTCCACCAACACTAAATCATGGATCTGCAGCTTCCACAATCTGAACTTGATGAAGCCATCGAGGCAGCAATTGCTCAGAAATTTGAATTTGAATTTCACACAAAGAATTTAATCTATTTTTTTTTTTCTAGAAGAAAACAGCGACAATAGAGGAAGTGACAGGGAAACAGTCCTTTAAAGGTCCTCCACTATTCTTCCGGATCGGAGTCGCGTCGCGATGTAGGAGCCGATGCATCCACCTCCAGGTAATCGTGCACCAGCTGGCAGATATTCTCGGATGCCTCGTTGAAGTTACCCTCCTCCAGCCCTTCGCCCACATAGTGATACACGAAGGCCCGCCGTTGGTAGAGCTTGTCGAACTTGTTGACCAGGCGGCACCAGGCGATCCGGATGTTCGTGTTGTTCGAGATGGCCACGCAGGCGCGATTGGTGGGCGCCAGATCTCCGCCAGGAACATAATACGGCGGCATGGGGCTCACACCGATCTTGAAGCCCGTGGGCGACCAGTCGACAAATCTGAAAGATCTGTTCCTCTTGATGTTCTCCAGCGCCGTATTGATCTCATTGGGGGCAATGTCCCCGCGATAAAGGAGCACACTTGCCATATACTTCCCGTGCGAGGGATTGCATCGCACCATTTGGTTGCTCATCTGGAAACACTGACCCGTGAGCTGCGCCGTCGACATATTGACAAACTGCGAATGCGAAATGGGAACCAAGGGGGCGTAGTTGATCAGCGGATAGTGGATACGCGGATAGGGCACCAGGTTCGTCTGCAGCTCCTGGAAACTCACGGTCGATCCTCCGCCAAAGCGCTGTGAGGCTGTAAAGCTGGAGACCACCTGACCGATGATTCTGTTCAGATTAGTGTACGTGGGTGCAGGGACATTGAGGGTATTTGCACATATGTCGTACAGCGCCTCGTTGTCCACAATGAACGACACATCGGCACAGTCCATGGAGAAATGGGCAGCCAACAGAGCGTTATAGGGCTCTACAATAACCGGGGATATTCTGCGGAGCAGTAAGGTATTTTGGGTTAGAAAGATTTGTTTAAATGAGTTCTACCTATGAAACTTCTAACTATTAAATCACAAGATACATTTAATATAAGAAGGTATAATATAACCCATTGTAATAAAAGCTGTACTATAATAACACATTTTTTAAGGCAAATTATTAAAAACCCCTCAATTTATAAGCAAAGCATTTGTTATCAGCCTTGTTCTTTTTTCTTTATCTAATCGATATAATGGCCCTTAAAAACGATACAATACCAACAGAGAAACTGATCGATGCCAACTTACGAAGGTGAGGGATAGACCAGGAACTCCACAACGGTCATCTTTTTCCCAAAGTCGTCTACGAGTCTCTCCATGATTCGTGTGCCTAGACCAGACCCGGATCCTCCTCCAATCGCCCGGAAGACTAGGAAGCCTCTAAGATTCCTACAGCGATCGGCCACTCGACGAATGGCATTCATTGAGCGATCCAACAGTTCGCTGGCCATCAGATTGTAACCCCGTGCAAAGTTACTGCCACTATCGTCCTTGCCCGAGATCAAAGTATCCGGATGGAAGAGATTGCGGTAGGAGCCCGTACGGATTTCATCTGGAAAGGTGGACCCAAAAAATTAGAAAGTACTTTACTTTATTTTCAACAGAAACATACCTATAACAGTGGGCTCAGTGTCGATCATGACAAGACGGGGCTGCACACATGGTTGACTGCTGGTGAACTCAAAGAAGGTCAGGAATGCGTCGTCGAGCGGCGTTTGCGTAAGCCTTCCATTGGCCAAAATGCCATGCTCCAGGCAGAAGAGCTCCCAACAGGCATTGGCTATCTGCACACCGGCCTGGCCAATGTGGATCTGGATGATCTCCCCCTTTCCGGACATGTGTCATATCTTAATATTAACCATTAATTTCCTTTCTTTGGAGAATTATTTTTTCAAAACCTAATCAAACCAAATTTTTCTTGACAATCTGAACTAGGAAAACTTTCCCCCACAATCGAATTTAAGTACATAACATTGATTTATTGTCCGCGCGCGGATTAATCAGTTTTCAAAGCGTTAGATACATGTAGATACAATTTATTTAGATATACAGATATACTCTTATAGTTATTTAGGTAATTCCGTGCTCGAGTACGTTGCCGTTGTAAATTGGAATGTGTTAGAAGTCAGAATTGATTTGTTGCGATCTACAAAAAAATTCACCTGCATCTGTAAGCAGATGCATACGTCTGTGTATAATACAAAAGCAGTCGCGAGGTTAAGATACATGAATAATTTACAAAATATTAATAAAATAAAACAATACTTTTCGGATTGGGTAGTGCAAGGACTAGATTTTATACACTTGATGTTTATATGAGTTAAGCAGTGCATTTCACAACTATAAGACAGTAAATTATCATGGAAATTATCAAATAGTTTTTGGACTTTTGAAAACGTGAAATGCATTTAAAACCTTTTTTTAACACCAACTATGTGTCTTTAAAAAACTTTGGTTTAAAGATTTTTTTCTTTTTTTTTTGACTAGAAAGAAAAAGTATGGCAAGTAGCCTATTTTTCAAATGAGATAATTTAATTTTATGAGTTAATGAGTTAATCAAAATCAAATCGGATGCAATTACTTTTATACTTACTTAAAAAAAAATCCCAAACCTGGAAAATGAAAGATTGTTACATAACAAAAACAACTCTACATAAAAACGCATACATAAAATATGTTTCGAAACATTGTCTTCTTTGGTCGACTTGATTAGTCTTCCTGAAATAAAAATCTGGCTTATAGTCCTAAAACGCACTGTGTTTTTGTTATCTATTCAATGTTTTGTTCTGAAGCTGCTAATTTGTTCAAGGCTTTTGTATGGACTATCTAAAGAAGCGACTGCTCCAGCAGAATACGCTCGAATCCGGGTGGTGGACCATGAGAAAAGTTGTCTAGAATAATGTCCAGAATGGCACCATTGCCAACTGAAAATACAAAAATTTAGATTTGGTCAACTAAAGCGACACTACAACTCACCGTAAATAACGGGAAACAATGCTGCTCCTCGAACGTTTCGGAAGGGAACCTCCAGATTCTTTCCATTGAAATAGAAAGTTCAGTTCCACATGATCGAAGGCCACACCCACAATGTCGCCCTCATCGGGAAAATCACGCTGCGGTGAAGTTATCAATGAATCACCGATACCAACATCGGATGGTGCCACCCCGGTGGTCATCAGCAGATCTTCCTGCTGCAGATCCTCGATGGCAATGAGTCCGGCCGCCTTGGCAGCACTATTGTTCAGGATTCCATTGGCCGTCCTCGAGGGTTGGGTGGTGCAAGTAACCTGCACCACCGGTCGGAACTCCTCCTTGTCGTTGTGGCGCGTGGCATTGTCGGAGCACAGGCACCAGGACTCGCGGTCTCCACCCCCACTTTTGCGACTGAGATCCGTTTGCCGGGTAGCCAAGCCCACGGACCAACTGCCTCCCTGCTGGATCTTCACCTCAAAGTAGGATTTCGACTGCACCAGAGGAGCTGTGGCCAGTACGCCTCCAGTGCCCGTTACGCGCAGCTGATGCGACAGCAGGATTACATCGGGTCCTGGAAAATATATAAATCTGTTTTCAATAGCTATTCAGAGGGTATAATAATTGGGAATAATAGGGCAACTGTGACTCCAGTCTAGAGTGCTACAGAAACATTTTTTAATAAAATTGTAACCGAATCTGGATGAGATTTCTGTAGTATATCTTATTGTTAATTGTTTTTCGAAGGAGTTTCCCACATTGTTATACTCATAAAGTTTTGGAGATAAGTACTGATATGGTATCATAACTGGTATCGAAATATTCCAAATGCGGATATCTTTATTCATATCAATCATTATTGAATCAGACTTAAGGTACAGTTGGGAAAAGTTTTTGTTTACAACCATACTTTTCGGAGATATATTTTTTGATAATAAAAGGAACATTGATCTGACAAAATATCTTGATATCTTTGGGGGTGCTCCAGAAATCCAATTTAATTAAATTAGGATATACAGTTGAAAGTGAATTCGAAAAAATGGGATTTATGTAGCATATATAATTTATGATATTAATGTATACAACTTAATATAATTTTACCCATATGCGCTGCATCCAAATGAACATCGGGCTCCCGGAGGCGACTGGCCGCTGCCGTTGGTTTCCTCATGTGTCCGCCATTTAGACAGGTGCGTAGGCAGCAGAACATCCCAAAATATATTTACTTTTCTTAACTGCTTTGCTTAAACCTTATTTAAATTGGATTTTATGAGCCGTGAATATTTTTCGCTGTTTTGTAAACAGCTGTCTTGTGTTTTTCTAGCCAATGGTCATACTGACTGCCGTATTTTCTGGTATATATCGTAAACATCGGGTGGAGAATGTGAGAGATAGGTGGCGCTATTTATATATCTGGGCAATATGGTTAATCATAGTTTTAGTTTAGTTGTAATGAATTTTCTATGATTGTAACTATTTGTACAGTATAACAAAAATACTAAACAAAAAATAATAAGAAATACATAAATTCTTGATTAAGACATTATATGTAGTTCCTAAAATGTCCGCAAAAAGTAAATGTAGAAATGGCGCCAGCAGCCATTAACAATCTTTTCTGTTGCAGTTCAAATTCAAGAAAGTGTTATGCTCAATTTTCTTTATTTCTAAGGCATATTAGTGAAATCAGGAACGAATCCAATTACTCTTCGGCGCACTTGTCGTAATTGGCAACCAGCTGGCGGTACAGATTCGAGACCCTCGAGCTCTTGTGGCACACAGTTCCACCGCCCCTCTTCAACTGACCCTGTTGTCTGTTGATGTCGCCCACGCAAATCCAATCGCCACCGCCAACACGCCAGTGATAGATCAAAATGCCCGAGGGACGGGACACCGCCCACTTGGAGTGATCCTGGGTGGTCCTGAAGTCCACCGATAGCTCCGTATTGGAAATGGACTCCACGTTGAGGACCTTGTCGGATTTCTCGCAGCTATTTGGCAAATTGCCGGCACCATCGCGCCAAGCCTCCACGTAAAGGGTGACATCCAGGGCGGGGGCCACCACATCAGCATATAGCTCCACATTGGCACGTCCACTCTTTCCGAACAGCCGGAACTTCTTGCCACCCAAGCTGCGCAGCTCCACGTCCTTTTGGAAAGGCGACTCCGTGCGCCACTGGCCATGTAGAGCTCTTTCCAAGCTCGGGAACAGTTCATCGGAGCGACTGACCAGCGGATTGCGTTCGTAGTAGAAGTGCGGCTCATTGTAGACCAAGATCTGACCCACCTTCTCCAGATCCTCGGCCTTCAGCGTGATGCAGAGCATACTCTGGGCGTAATTCTCACCGGACTCGGGATACGAGTAATCGGGAACGGTGGGATACTTGGGCACCGAGTGGACCAGCCAAATGGCTTGTTCTCCATCACTGGCCACCACTCCTTTGGCATGTCCTCCGCTGCTGAAAACAGTGCCATTCGGCAGCTGATCGTTGTAGGCGGCCAGCAGGGTGTGATTGGGATCGGCATTCAGGGGGTTAAGGGTCTGGGCTGGCAGGGACAAGGGATCGCTAATGAACTTCCCGGACATCTGCCAGGTGTCGTAGCTCTGGCTGGTCACATACAGGTACTTCAGGCCACTGGTGTCCTTGCCCAAATCATTGTGCTGGTAGTGCTTGGGCAGCTTGTACAGATGCCACCTGAAAGTGTGGAGCGAGGTCAGAAAAGGAACAAAATAATAAATATTATTTTAAATATACATATAAAAAATATAAAATTAAATAATAAAAAATAATAATGTATTTCCATAATAAGAATAATGTCCACTGATCTACAAAAACCCCCCGCTCTTTATCAAAGGTAATTCCCCTATTGTTCTTTCAAATAATGTGTCTGTAGATTTGTTTATATAACCAAATTAGAATATTAATAATACGTTGGGACTTAACAAAATCAACAAAAATATTTAGGTATTGACATATTAATTATTTTAAACATTTATATTTGCTGTTAAACACACAAACCATATTTCTGTATGCAAATGTTTTCAGCAATACAAAATAAAGCGATAAAAAACGTGATGAATAATGACAGAAAATAAACTGATTAAAAAACTGAACTATTTTTAATCTTTTAAATGTACTTACCAATCCACATCGTTGCCTGATTCATCCTTGCAAGACACTTTTGCTTTAGCTTCGCTTAGGCATGAAAACCAAACGAGCAGCAAGACAAAACACAGAGATCTCATTGTAGAACCTTCAAGTTGCTCGGTCGGAAAACAACTAAATCGGAGATAATGAATCTAAACCAATCAACAGCTTGTCCCATACAGGGTGTCTCAACCGAGCGGAGATATCTCTTCCAGTCTGTTTCACATTTCTTCCCCAAGTATAAAGGTTAAAACAAATAAAAACCGAGTTTTTTTCTGTTTGCCTGTTTTATCTTAGAGCTGAATTTATAAATAAATGACCCGTTTTTGTGGTTTTTGTACTGAGCTAATCAACACAATATTTGCCATTAGCAACTTATTGCCAAAGATCAGTCGACCAGAGAGCTAAGCGATAAGCAGAGCAACTGAAAATGCAGCTACAACGAATATATATTACACCCTATTCCAAAAAATATATTTTAAATTTAATTTGAAAGAAAAAAGATTTTAAGTCTGGGGTAGGTATATTTTTTTTTCTTCCTATAAAAATAATGTAAATTGAAAATAAATAAATACATACAATAATTTAATTTCGAGGTCACACTAAATATTATTTGACTGATTTATAATTTTTTTAAATCCGGAAAATAAACTTTGTGTATAGCCATATACCCACCTTGGATGTACCATCTAATACAAACCCATGGAAATCGAACCAATTCCGCAATCATCGCCAAGTCAAAGCCCAGTCCATCGTGTGGCACAACAAATTCCAATTCTTTACAATTACACAAAACAATTGTTAAAGTTTTTATTTATTATTTGTATTATTATTATTATAATTTGTCGCCTGCTGCAAACTGCGATTTGTTTTTCTGCTCCCCTTTAGCTGCAGGGCATATCGTTTGTGCTTCCCTCGATCGTGATCGCTTGAAAATATTATCATTATCAAATTGTATAATTTGTCTTGCGGGCTTGCCCATCTGCTATTATTGAATTTAAATAATCTGCTTGGTAATTGGAAATGAATTCAATTTCGTTTAGTTCTTATCGCTGGTTGCTGTCTGTGAAAAAATGGTTCACCTTTCTGTCGGTTCGGTTTGCTGATCTGATCTGATCTATTCGGTTCTTGTCAATCATTTGTCACTGCCAATCGGTTGGTATTGCCATTTAGTTTTACATTTAACTTAACTGTACCGATTTGTTATGTCATTTCTTTGGTTTCGTATGCAACAATACATTTAAACTCACAATACAATATTTTCGCTAAATATTTTTTATGTTTTTGTATTCATTTTTTTTTTATAGTAGTTAATAATTTATTAATATTTTGTATGGTTTTTCATTTTTTTGGTTTTTCAAATATATATATATAAAGAACAAGGCTGATATTTATATTTATATATATACGAGTTTTGTTTCTGCTTTATGTAAGTTTTATAATAATATTTAGCTATATGTTTTCTTTTTCATTTGCTTTGAAAAATCAATTTGTTTTTTACAATATTAGCAAAAGATCTTTGTTCGATTTTTAAAAAGAAAGTCGTATTTTTGTTTTGCGAAAATGTTAAATAAATGAGCCTCAAAATAGACAAATATATGCCATTTGTTGTAGTTTTAATATTTTAATTAATATTAATCATTATTTTCGTATTATTTTCTGATAAAAGTAGACTCAACTTTAAGTTATGCAAATAAAAATTGCATTTTCCCGGTTTTCTTTTTTTTAATAATTTCATAATTCTCTTGTTGTTACACCGTTGAAAACTGCTGCGCATAATTGTGGCTGCTTTTCATTTATATATAGTGTATATATATGTGTATATATAGTTTTATTCGGGCACGAGTTTGATATGTTTTGACTTGTGTTATCTTCATTTTTCTGCTGGTTTTTCTTTACCTCTGCCATGATATTTTCAATATTCAATACCAGTTTCCTTTCCTACTTAACTTTCTACAGATACTATACATATGTATGTCTGTATATAGATATGCATAGTACGTTATGTATTACAAATGTACAGCGAATTTCTCTGCTCTGTCCATAGCCAGTTGTAATTGAGTATAATGCCTTTCTAGTTGGCTCTCCCCCAAATGACTCAAAACTTTTAGTGGGGAGAGATTCATATATGTAGTATAATATATGTAATTGTATAGTTGGTTTTAATTTTTTTGCAAAAATTTTCACTAATTTAAAATTCGTTTCTTCAAAGGTTTATCGCGTGTGTGTGTGTGTGATTTTAAATGAAACAATAATGAATTTGTTTAACGAACAAAATATAAAGTTTTATTATGCATAATTAATACCGTCAATTGAAAAGTTCTAAGTTAAGGCTACACAAATGATATAAGTATATTTATATATGGGTTTATAATAGAGGTATACAATACATATACATATAAATTACTTAGAAATTAGTATTGAATTGTTGTTAATATAGTTTTTTTCAGGCAAACATAAGGCAATTTGGGGGGGAACTTAAATTAAACAAAGAAAATATTTTCGAGACGCAAATTATAGCAAATACAATAAATACAATAGAATAGAATATTTACTGTTACTGCTTTATAATTACTGTTACTTTTTACTGTCTTTCTATTACTGCTGCCACATATGTAGATATGCCATTACTATGTAAGCGTATAGCTAGCATTTATGTAAGTAGTTTCATAATCTATTACTAAGCTTTCATTCAGTTATGCTTTCTTCCCCTTTTTTTGGTAACTGCTTTTCTGCCTTTTTACGCTTACAATGTTTAAAAATTTAAAAACCACATCAAAACATATCGGTTTTATTTTTCCTTAATAATTTTTCTTGTAAAAGTTTCTTCTCATTTTGTTCATTATCCGTTTGCTGATATGTATTTGTTATTTTTACGTTTTTTTGTAATTGTTATTTAGTTTTCGTTTGTTTCAAAATTGTTTTAATATATGTGTGTGTATATATATTCATATAATGTTCCCATAATTCATATTGTTTAGTTTAGGTTTTCTGTCATTCATTCATTTTAGCTTTCTTTAGTTTATCGTTTACGAGCTAGGTTTTCCTCTTTTCTTCTGCTTTTGCTGGGATATTCCCAATATCTAGTTCAATATTAGCTTGCTGCAGATTTGTAAAATCTGTAAGTATATAGCTATGAAATTTAGATTAAAGAATGTCTGGAAATCAAGCCTCGAAGTGGTTTTTGGGGGTGGGGACTTAACAACCTTCCACCGCGCTGGTTTTCCCTCTTTGCTTTCTGTCGTGAATGAAAATTGCACAAGATTTTCCCAAATGCACACACACACACACACACACATGCACAGACACACACTTATGCGTATTCCTCATTGCTTTTGTTGCATACTTTTGGGCTCTTTGACCACTCTTAGGCGCTAAAAATTAATTTCGAAAATATTTGTTAGCATCTATTAAATCTTGTTTTGTTATTTATGCTTATTTGTAGTTGTAAATATTTTTGTTTTCCGTCAGCGGGCTGCTTGTTTGTTTTTTTTCATAATTGTTTTGAAAGGCGCAATTTTATGATATGCATTAGTATATTATGTATAATTAAACATTTCCTTGCTTATAGGCTAAAACTTTAACTAATTTACTTGTCTTTGTGGCGAACGTGTGCGTGTGTGTGTGTGTTAGGATTGCAGACTTATAAGTAGACCTCTGTTCTTAACTTCGAATGATGATGCTTTTCAAACCAACGCGACGCTGGCGAAGAGATGATATTTTTGGGCAAGAGGAAAGCAAGAAATGTAATTGGACGGAATATGCATTTTACATTCGACTAAAGTTAGACAGGAAATTAAATAAGTAAATATTTTAAGAGAAATGTGTAGAAAAGGGTTACAACTTTACCAAATTAATTTATCTTTTTCTTTAGTTTTTTTCATATTATCTCTTAACAATTGTGTTTTTTTTCAAATATGCCTTTGGTATGTCTAGTCACATTTACCCTAAACTAAACTTTAAAAAACATTTAAAATTAGTTGAATTACTCGTGGGTCTTATCTGTTTTTTTGTTTAACAAATTGTTTGTGAAGTGGTTAACATAACTTGTTAAATTAGTAAGGACAACTTTGGTAAAATTTGAAGATTTTATCCATATATATATATATGCTTAAATTGGTTTAAACAAGGCTGAACGAACTCTTTAAAAAAAAAGTTGAAAATTATCATGTAAAAAGCTTGCTTATAAATTGTTTTCGTATTTAACTATATATAGTTGTTAGCATTTAAGCTTTACATTGTTTTCATTAATCATTAATTGTAGTTGGTTTCTGCTGTTTTCTTGCGTTTAGTTACAATTGAATTTATTTTTGTTCTTTTTTGTAGTTATACATACTCGATTTATGCTTGCTACGTAAGATGATATGCAATTGATTTTATTTACTCGTCCTTGTTTGCTGTTACCTCTTCTACACTCTCCCCACCTCATCCGATCTCATCCTGCGCCCTCCCCCCACTAAATCGATCGTTGGTTTAGCAAGAAATGTGATTTGATTGTTCTAGCATTTCGAAAGTTAGTTAGGAATAGTTTCTCAATATTTAGATGGAGTCCTTTAGGTTTGGGGGCCCTCTAGTAAAGTTCAAGTCTTTGTAGGGGAAACGCAGAAAATGATGAACCAAACTTTTAAAAGAAAACATATGTTTCTGGGCGGAAAGTTTAGAGTGTCCTGTGCCAGTTTCTGTTAAAGTTTCGTTTCAGCTTTTCTTTTTTGTTAAAAATCGTTTTGTTCGAGTCTTTGCTTCACTACAGCGCACCTGCAACGTTCATCCCAAGTCGTCGATATGTCCTATCGGGTAAATTTCAAATTCACATTTAAATTTTGTTATTCTTACGTTTTTAAGAAATATGTTTCGAAACCAGCTTTCAGTATTCCTCAATATAAATTTAAATTTATACGATGACGTCGACTACTCGTTGTGGTTGACTTGTAGAATTTTCTTGTTGAGTAACATTTTGAAAATTACCTTACTAGATATACAATTATTACATTAATGCATATATTTAAATTGTTTTGGTTTTGTTTCGTATTATTTTTTATAATTCTAGAAAGAGAGCTATTTAAAGGGCACATTCGGTTAAGCTATAATTATATATTTTTCTTCGTCCTTAACTTCATTTTATTCTCTTATACTGCTTGATACATAAAAAAAAGTAAAAGAATAAGAATTTTATGTCTCAATTCCATTTGTTAAAAGTCGGTTAAGATCGGGGATGAACGAGGGAGTAGTAACAATAAAAGAAACTAATAATTTCAAACAAAAAACCTTTAAACAAAATCAATTTATCAAGCTAAAAAAAACACTAAATAGGTGTAAATAAACAACAAATTCTTGATCAGCATGCCATATATACGTTATATATATATAGGTTTATGTATATATGTGTATTCGTTTATAGGGGCATATCGGATGTATTGCAACTAACTTAGTAAGTAGTTCGCTCAGCTTCCGATCTATCGTAAATTGTATATTTTACTACAAGTTTATCCCGTTTTTGGTTTCCACTACAATCTTTTTTGTTGCCTGTCGAAAAATTTCACTAAACTGGGTTACGGGGTCTGCCTTTTCTTTCTGTCACATATAAATTAACTTCTTTTTGCGTTTTTTTTATTTTGTTTTGTTTTTTTTTTTTTGCATTTTTTATATATTTTTTATATCTAGAACTAAAGGTTTGCCTCCTCGCATGGATCCGTTGCATGCGGAGCTTTGTTTGCCCTCGTTTATCAAACTCAAATGTGATTTCATCAGGCTGCTATGTGACTGACCGCCGGCAGCACGTACGAATAGATGTGGTGCGGCTGCATCTGCTGCTGTTGGTGGTGCGGCTGGTGGAGGTGGTGGTGCGGCGTCGCATAATGGTGGCTCAAGTTGCCACCGGGTCAGGTTGCTGTCGGCGTCATCAAGAACTGTTGCTGATGATGATGGTGGTGGTGGTGGCTCAGGTGTTGCTGTTGTGCCTGCTGCTGTTGTTGCTGCTGCTGCTGCTGCTGCTGCTGGTGGTGCTGGTGGTGCGCTGTCTGGTGGCTATGGTGGTAGTGCTGCGCTGCTGCATGGTGGTGCTGCTGTTGCTGTTGCTGCTGCGTCTGGTGGTGCACTTGCGTCTGCTGTTGCTGCATTTCGCGCTCTAGCTTCTTAGCGAGCAAATCATGCCGTGATTCCATACCCGCTCCTCTGAAAATAATTGTCAAAATGAAAAAGCAAAAGTTAGTTTTTGTCAGTGTACGGGGTCTATCTACGGATTTTGATGGTGCTTCGTGACTACGCATGCTGGCTATTTTAGTGGCTATGTGTAGACTACCCATGCGTGCACTTAATAATATTTATTTATTATGATTTATTTTTCTACATTTTGGGCAATTTATCGTTCTCTAAAAATAGACATTAAAACAAATCAACTTACTGACATTAAAAAAAAAAAACTTAATCATTTTCTTATTATTCAATTAAAAGTTTTCTATAAACAATTTTTAAGATGTATTCCACTATTTTAAAAGAAGTCATTCAAAATTTGGAAAGAAAAAATGAAATTTAATTTATTAAAGGTTACAAAATACGCTAGATTTATAAACAAGATAAAATACTTCAAATATTATTACTATTGGTACTACAAATATTAAAATAACCCAAGGTCTCTGCTATTTCAGACATTTGCAATCAAAATTTTCCATTTGTTAGTGATTATATTGCTTACAGCTTTAACATGCCAACCTTTCAATATGATATTCAAAAGCGAGCAAACAACCTACAATATTGTAAAGAAAAGTTCATGGCTTGAACAAAAATATTTTAAAGCTCGAACGTTTAACGTTGTTGCTGCAGTGGTTAAGTTGTTGGGGCAGTCGAGTGGGCTATGTGTATGGCAATATGGGTGTGGCATGCTGCGTTTAATTTTTGCATTTTTTATGAAGTTGTTGCTGCTACTGCTGCTACATTTTCTTGCAGCAAATTGAAAAAATGAATTTATGTGGTCTTTTGGCATTTGAGATACGTGAGTCACAGCCCACACACGAGATAGAGATAGAGATATAGTGGTGCTTAAGTCAGTGGTTGGGGTGCAGTCTCCCAACGGAAGCGGGCATTTAGAAAGCGGATGTCTAGGAAGTTGCCCCACCACCTTTTTGCCTTTCTTCTCTCTGTGGGTTACAACTTGTTATGGCCACTGTTGTTGGCCTGCTAACTTTTTGTGTGCTATAATTTGTATTTAAATGCGGCTCCAATTGTTATGACTATGGGTGTGTGTGTGAGTGCTCCGGACCAAAACTCAAATGCTTTCGGCCATCCCTTAGGTAGGTTCTTACTTGTTGTTGCTGATTGCTGCTGGATTGTTGCTTGCTGCTGATGTTGCTGCTGTTGTTGTGGTGTTGGTGGTTGGTAGCATGCAAAGTAAACAGGCAAGCTTAACAATAACAATTTGCAAAATTTTATAAATACTTAATAGGGTTCGCTTTTATTTTTTGGGGTGGAGTAGGGCAGTTGGGTCTTTTTCGGGGTCATGCATATGAGGGATTTTCGGGCCTGGGCAAAACCTTTTTGCGGATTGAATGGCTTACTCTAATATTTATGGGCTAAAGGGTGTGCAGTTTAGTGGGGCAACTAATGATAATGGTGGGTTTGAGATTACTCTACACAGACTTAGAAGAAACTTGGTTCATTTGGTTCACCCAGGATAATACATACGTCTCTAAAGAGATGATTTTGGTGGTGCTGATTTGGATGATGAAGTTGGTGGTGCTGTAGTGAGTTAACAACAACGCTAGTGGTGGTGCTGTTGGTGGTGGTGCTTGCTGCGGTGCAGGGTGCTGCCACGGTCAGCTGAAGTTGCTGCTGCTGCTGTTGCTGCTGCTGCATTTGCTGATGCTGGTGGTGCTGCATTTGCAGTTGCTGTTGCAGTTGCTGCATCTGGAGTTGCTGTTGCTGTTGTGCCGACGGCGGTGGTGCAGTGACCAGCAAGTGCTCGACCCCACCGCCGCCGTTCAGGATGAACATGGGTGGTGGTGGTGCAGCAGGGGGTGGTGGTGGTGGCGGTGCCTTGGTGGTCATGATGGCCATCTCATTGATCATTTTGCTGCGCGCAAACTCGATGCGAATGGAACCGCGATCCGAGCTGAGCAGATATTTACCCTGCAGCTGCTGCATGGCCTGAGATGCGCTCGGTGGGTCCTTGAACTCGATGAATGCCACCGGATGTTGCTGCACCGCAGCGTTGTTGCTGCTGCCGCCGCCGTTACTGGTGGAGCAGCTTGAGCCAGTTGCTGCTGCCATGGCTGGTAGTGGGTCAAGAGCAGTCGCATATGTTGTTGTTGTGGAGTAGGAAGTTGAAGTTGGTTTTGTTGAGGTCAGAGTTGAAGACAAAGTCATAGGCATAGAAGTTGTGATTGGGTGCGTACCTTTTGTGTGCATTCGTAGGCGACAAAAGCCAGGCATACTGTGCATATTATATATCATAGTTGGGTATATATATAATTTTTTGTTAGATATATATGTCGGTTATCATGTATCATACAAGAAGAGTGATCGGGTGGGATGGTGGGCAACAAACGAACCAAGGAAGAGAACGCAAAAATTTTCGGTTAGTACTCGGTTAAGAAAGTTCACAAAGTGCCATCAAGAGTGGTGGTTGTTATGGTGGTAATGTGTGATTTGGGTGGTTTATACTGTGGTTTCCTGTGATCTCAGTGCGGTTTTCATTGTCTCAAAACAAAAAAAACTAAACAAAAACAACAAGGTTCTTGACAGAGCCAGAGTCAGTTGTGTGGAATTTACCTAGAGAACACCTCCTTCAGTTCGTGCTCGGATACAAACTGGCCCAGATTGGCCACGAACAGCGTGGAGCAGGGCGCATTGGCCGCGATCTGCGGGTTGGCCGGATGGCTGGCGTTGTTGGTGGATCCGGCGGGACTGGCCAGCGCCGGACTCGACAGATAGTGGTGGTGCGAAGCAGCAGCAGCTGCAGCGGCAGCGGCCGCAGCCACATTGTTGGCGGCCGTCGCAGCGGCACTTTGCGGAGCGGCAGCAGCGGTGGCCGCTCCCGCAGCCGCAGCCATGTGAGCCATCGCGGCTCCGGGATGAATAGCAGTTGTCTGATGATGTGGCGGCATGGTCATTTGAGTCTGAAAAGGGGGAGGAAAGATTTAGACACTTGTAATTAACTTTTAGAAAAACGATTGCCACTTTACTCGATAATCAAGACTTCCAGACTGAAATTTTAAATAGTAATTTTATAGCTCAACTTATTTTATTTGAAATATTTCATTTTATATATATTTGAACGTACAAATTGTTTAAATTGAACAAATATTGCTCATACGACCCATTAAACATTAACTTTAATGGAAAATTGGTTGTTTTAGATTTATGTTAGATTTTTACAATTTTTCTGTCGAAAATTTTACTATACACTGAAATAGATTTTAACTCTTTTGATTTATTAAGCTTAAGATTATATATGTCACCATAAATAGAAGTCATGAACTAATATTTATTTATTTTAACTTTGTACACTATTTCAGTAGCTAAGTGATGAATCTTGATTTTTAAAACCAAGTTTTTTAAATATCTTATTTAATTTGATTTAATGCTGATTTGTCAGTTAGTAAAATCTTTGGTACCTGGGCAAGACAAACGTTGTAGAAGATAATATCGCACTTACTTGATGCATAGGCTGCTCCATTACTTTGTCTGTATTTAGTCAGAGATAGGAGCGCACTGGCACCTGCGGATGCAGGGCCGGATGCACTAGTGTTGCATGCTGCAGGGCAGCTGCTCCGGGCAATTCAGCGGCGGCGGCTGCCGAGTAGGCTAGCGGATGATGCCATAGCTCCGGTCCGCCCGGAAAGAAGGGCCCACCCAGATCTGCGAGTCGAGAAGAATGATAGTGGAGTAAATCAGATGGCAGCTCACCTAAGTAACTATTATACACAGGTTTTAGTTGACAAAAATCTAAATGGTAAAAACAAGAACGGTTTCCCAAACGAAAAAAAAATATATTAAGAAATGATTTTTTTCATGTTTAAAGTTCGTTGTCTCAGTCTTTCGTTTTTTTTGAGGTAATATTTAAATTTAGTAAGTCCTTAAAATTTTACTGCATTTTATAGTTTAATTATTATAGAATGCAATATTAAATATAAAAAAGTTATCGCATTTTAATAAGATCTCTGAACTTTATTGGCACTTTAGTACTAACTTTTAGCTAATTGGCTTATTTTCTTCTGTTTTTTTAGGCGTGTATGGTCTTTGTGTTTCTGAGCGTGTGTGTGAGTTGCACAAAGTGTTACAAGTGATCAAAGTGCGGTACATTGTATATAGATGTTTTAGTTGTTGCTGTAACCTAGTTGGGAATATATATATATAACTCAATAGCGACTCGAAGTATGCAGAGATAACAATTCGATATGGTAGATATAGCATACAAAAGTATTTACGATATATATTTGCTGATATATATATGTATATATATATATAAAGTTGTGTGCACTTGAAGCAAGTTTTTTTTTTCAATTTAATATTAAACATTTTTAACTGCTTAATTGTTGGAAAGATCGGTGTAACAGTGTGTGAATGTGAGTGTTCGGTGTGTGTGTGTGTGTGTGGTATTGTCGATAGTAAGGAGGTGCTCGAGTACGCCTTCGGTTCGGATTTCTTGTACCCTTAAACATATTATTGGTTTTTCATAAAATATATTCTACATACACAAAAGGAAAACGAAACAAAATTAAAGAAATTAGCAGCTGCCGAGTTCTCATTTTTGTATTTTGTTTTTCTTTTGAATTTTTTTTTTATTTTTTACTTACGTCCAGTGAGTGGGTGCATCAATGCAGGATGTGAGGCTGTTGTCGCTGTATTGGGCTGTGGTTTGGGTTTGCTCACTTTCGTGTTACTCTTGGCGAATTCCAAGCGAATTGTTTGGGGCATATCGGGATCGAAGCGTACACCCTGCTGTAAATGATCAGATCAAAATACAGCGGTTTGTATTTTCTTTTTTTTCATGTAATTTATTCTTGCAGCAAAGTTCAAAAGTTTCGGGGGGAGATTTTTCAAGTATTTCTTTTGCAACAATTCGCCAAAAATAATTTTGAATGTCGCGTGAAAGTAACGTTTTAAAAAAAAGAAACTGGTGGTAAAAAATATGTTTTATATTTTTTTAAGAGAACTATTGCTTAAGGTTTGGGGGCGGGATACATTCAACGTAGAATTTTTATTGCACGGTGTCCGCTTTGCAATCTGAGTTTTTGGAAGGGGTCTTTGCAGCTGGGTTTGGCTATGAGTGTATTTTTTTTTTTGGGGTCTTAAGACAAAGAGCGCTTAGAATTTCAATGAAATTCACCATTAAAGGAAGTCCTGTTTTTAATCTTTTGAAATTTAATTTTTTTGTATTTTTTATATATGGAACCACAAAAACAAAATTTGTTCATTGAAAATATTGTGTTTAAAGATCGAATGGAATATTAAAAGTTCAAAGTAACATCTTTTGAATGAAGTCTTCCATGTCCTATGTCTATCAATAATCAGAAATGTTTTTTAAGCTTATAGGGTTCGTCAAAATCTCGGATGATCATAACTAGGCATTTCTAGAAATTGTATAGTGCTCTTCCCGGGGGCGTGGTGGCTTTTAGGGGGCGTGACAGGGGAAGGGGCATGCACCACAGGCTCGAGACGTTGCTTTCATTTGGTTTGCTGTTCTGGTTGTTGGTGCTTTTTGCTTTTGCCATTTTTGCAGATTTTCTTGCCAGAGATGAAGGTGTGTGTGTGTGGGTGTGATGAGTGTACCAGTTTACATGTGTATTTGGGTTCTCTGCGTGTCAACGTGTTTTGTAGAATGAGCAAATTAAAGGGGAGGGGGGATGCAAATACCAAAAACAATAAGACAACTCAAAAGAAAGTTAGAGAGAGATATATAGAATGATAGAGAGAGATAAGAGATATATAGAGAGAGAGAGAGAGAGAGCGGGACAGCGAAGGCTAGACAGAGAGGGAAACACTTAATGCGATTGGGTGAAATGTAAAAGTATCTTTTTTTCAAATGCAAGCACGTGTTCGTGTGGATTCTTGTTGTTGTTCGTTTTGTTTGCTATTGTTTTATTTTTTGTTGTGATTTTCGGGTGTTGCAAACTGAGCTTAGAGCTCGATTGTTGAGCAGCGGCGACGGGGGCCTAACGGTATTTAAGCCAGGCAATACGAGTATACAAGTATTTTGATAGTTGTTGTTTCAGTACTTTTTGTTTTTGGGTGCTTTACAATTTGTATGTTAAAAGTGTAAGATTCTTTTGCTGTAGCTGAGAATATCTTCTTCGCAATATATTTTATGTCGTATTGCTCAAAAAAATTGCTAAAACATGTTGGTGTTCCTTCGATTATACATGGTATACAATTAGATAGAGATAGATTTGGTGTTAATATTTACCTGCAGATCCTGTTTAGCTGCCTCTGCTCCAGCTCTTGTATGGAATGTCACAAAGCCAACGGGCTGTGGAAAATTAATAATTTATAAATGGTTAAACACATGTTTAAAGCATTTTAATTTTAAATTTAAAACTTAGTAAAGATTCCAAAATTAAAGTTGAATTTTATTTGCGAAAAAAAGTGAGACCCATACAAATTTATCTATTAACTAATTAATGTTTAATAAATTAAAATCAAAAAAAGAAAACAAAATTTTTACAAAGCTCAAAAACTTATATAAAAAACACAAGCTAAAAAATGTTTCAAAGATTTGCTTACCGATGCTGTTTTGCCATTTTTGCTAGTTACTTTCAAAAGAGATCCTTCATAGCCCTGTTTAAAATAAATTAATTAATATTGTGTCCATGCACTTGTGTTTTATTTGTGAAAAACATACCTCGTAGGCTCTGAATAACAAATAAAGCTCGCGCGGCTTGGCATCCATGGGCAAACCGCTGACAAAAAGTGTGCGAACCTGCAATGTTGGCAAGATAGATAGAGAATGGTTAGATGATTGCTAGTTCACAAAAACCAATTTCCTATGATTACGTAATTAAGTTGAAACTGTCACGTTGTCCCAGCAAAAACACAAATACAACCTTCAGCCTCAATTTTCAACTTCAAATGTTTGTAATGCGCTTTTATCCTAGCCATCCCTTCTCTCTCCCTTTCCTTGGCCAAAAAGTTCATGACACCACTCCCACACGCACATGACATTTCAGAGGGGGAGGTGGAAAATTGGGGGTGGTAAATGAAAGCAGTGGGGGGTGGGGTCACATGTACATGCTGATAATGAAACCAAATGGAATAAGCGCCATAAACGCTGAATTCATTATGACAACGCCACGAACGTGACTCTTGTTGGCAAGAAGGACATGGCAAATAAGGGGCGGAAAGGGGGCTGGCTTTTGGGGAATTGTACAGGTGAGTCAAGGAACCCCATCCCCTCCATCCCACATGTGTGCTGCAGGGACTAAATGAGTCCCCAGCACTGACAGCTTTTTATTTTTAACACCTAGGCGAAAATGTTTGAGTTGAGGTGGCAAGCGCTACCTTTGAGCGATGTGAATGTGTGGAACTGGGTTAGCGACCCACCTCCTCTGTTTATTTTCGCTCTTTTTCGGGTGTATATTTTGTGCTGAGCAGGTAAATTTACTTTGTTGCGGGTCCTTAAAGTTTTTGCATTATTAGCTTTAAGGGAAAAAGTACAAGCAAAGTCTGTAAAGGAGAAGCCCATCATTGCAGTGCAGTAAAATATAATAATTTCTATCATTCCCTGCTATTTACCTAAATATTTTCCGATTCTACTAACCATGACTAACTAATTTGATAATTTAATTTTCATTTCAATCACTCCTGGCTAAATAAAGAACTTTTAACTGAAAATTAATTTTGTTTTTAAATAATCTTTATCTTCTTTTAAGCACTGTTAATCATTGAAAATAAACAAATATTTATATCCTGTCCATGTTTACTAATATCAATACAATTTTTACGTCTTTCACGACTTTAAAATTTATATTTTGCTGGGCATCTGATTTTTCAGACAGTTTTTTCCCCTTGCGGCTGGTGTGTTGAGTTCAAAATTAAAACGTGTTCTATCATTGCCATCTACCTTCTTTTTTGCCGTTGCTGCTGTAATCTACCCAAACTCTGTCCTTGTGAATTTTGAATTTGTTTGTATAAAAATAGCGATACAAGCTTGCAACATGTCACGCATATTGACTAGGAGGGATGTCATGGTTGCAGGGAAAACTCGTATATCCCTTGGGAAAATTCAAGTGCAGCTGGAAAAGGATAAGAAACGCCGACAAGAGTGGCTTGTATTTTACGGTTTTATCCACCGCAGACATTTTTACAAATTAATTAGCAAAAGTTCTGCAGCCTCGCAAATTCTCAAACTCCACCGAAAAAAACAACAAATAATGGTGGGAAAATGTTCTGTTGGGAAATGGAAGAAAAGCCAAGGTGGTTGGCTGAGGAAAAGCCTTAGCATGGTCAGTTAAATACCAATTTAAATTAATTTTTATGCAGTAAGCGGTTTCTGCCACACGGACTTTGCTAATTGAAGGCAATAATGAGTCTGCGGGTGGAAAAGGGCAACCAGCCAAGCAGCCTAATTAGGAGAAGGCTGGTGTCGGGCTTAAACGGCTTTCCAGCTAATGGCAATTGAAATGCCATTATTAAATGCCCCGAAAAGTGTAAATTAACCAAAAGCAAGTGGCGAAAAGATGTTGAAGTTCTTGTTCATTTTTATTTGAGTATATTCTCTAAAGTTCCAGTGCTCTGCATTTCTATCTATATAGCTTTATCTCTGTCTCCGTCTGGGAACGAGGATTTGGCTTGTGTGCGCTTGTGGGCATTGCGGATAGACATTTAGTATTTTGGCAACTTCAACTGCAATTGCAACTCCAACTCCGGCGGCCAACTCTTAACTTCAAATACAAACTGTGGCTTACACATGCAAGCGATATTATATCGTGGCACTGGGAAAAATGCAAGCTAACATTTCTGGAAAATATTTTTAAAAGAGATTGCAATTACTTATATAAAATATCATCAAACTGATTATATGTTAATGCCTCGCTGTTTTCTGTGTTAAAAATAATAAGTGTAAAGATCATTACAAATCAATAGTTATCAAATTATGTAATAAAAGAATACATGTGTTTGAATAACTTCACTTATTATTTCACAGTAATACTTTTTCGTATTCCCATATTTTAAATAGTTGATTTTAAATCTTTTTCAACGTTGTTCTTTTAATTACATTTCTCAGTGCTAGTCTGTTTCAAAGTTTGTCTCTGATACTGATTTCAATGCTGTGGGTGTTCTGTTTTTGTATCCGTATCTGTGTTTGTATCTGCATCTGTTGTTGTTGCACTTTGCGGGTTTGTCTAACTCTCGTTGCCAAAATCCATTTAAATACAGCAAAACCGTTGTTGCTGCTGTTGTCTTTTGGTCAACCTTTGCAACTTGGCTCTGATTTTGGCTTGCTAAACATGCACTCCCCCCTTTGTCTGATTTTCTTTGTGTGTGTTTCTCTTTGCTATTTGCGGTTTGCTGTTTGTTGCCAAGAAGTTAAAGTCCACCTAACGACCCCCTCCCTCCCCCTTTATATCCCATTTGCCGCAATGCCCCCCACTTTCCGACAGTCTATATTCCTTAGCCAAACTTTGTTTATAATTATGCTCGATTCCATTTGATGTTCTCCCCGCAAATAAATGTTCTAACTTCGGTGATTTAGCTACATTCTCCATGCATTGCGTATACGCTGCGTTGCCCACCGGGATATTGTGGTCGATGAAGTGTCGGGGGTTTGCGAACAAGTCGACCTTGTCTTTTAACATTGTTGGGCCAGCATAAACAGTGAAAATAACAACGTTTATAAATCACTCGGTAGTCAAGTGTTGACTTACAATAATTAAGCATGACAGAGGCACAACACACATGCATATAACCAACAGCAATGCAACCAGTCACAATCGCCCATTCACCGCTGACGTGGGCGTGGCAATGGCATATAAAAGCAAACAATTTGCTGGCAAAAGTAGCCTCCAAATCACTTAAACGTGTTGCCGTCGACGCTAAAACTATTTAGCCTCAACAAATTAACATATTTCCATGTTGCGCGCTAATAAATGAGAGGAGTTTTTGAGCCACTTTTAAGCTGATTTGTGTCTGGTTTTTATCGTTTGGCGGCATTTTCACAAAGCAAACAACACCGCTTCAATCGCTTTTATTTTCTATAAATAGTTGGCAATTAAATTGCAATTGATGTATGCAAAAACGATAAACTAGCTGATGGCGATGTCCAATGGAGAAAAATGTGCGAGTGAATGAGAGAATTTGATTGATGTTGATTTATTTTAGTAGTCAGCTTTAATTATTTAGCCAATATAATCAAAAAATAAATACATTTTCAGAAATATGTTTTATTTATTTGATTTTTATTTATTTTAGTTTGATTATTGTTTATATGTCGTTATATTTGCATTGTTAATTTTTAATTATTTTAATTGAATAACAATTTGACTTGTATCCTTACTTCGTTAGTTGAACTTTTATAGTCTTTGTGTTATTTAATTTAAATAAAACATTTTGTTTGTTTAAGATAATGTAACATAAATTAAATCGCTTAAATGTTTTTGGTAAATGCCAACCGCAATTTAAACGAGTTTTCTGTTTGGCCCGTGTGGGATTTTTGTTTACAAGATTTTTCTTATTTTCTTGTCAAATCGGGTCAGGCCAAAGTCTTTTCAATAGTCTGCTGTATAGTTTTCAATGCCTCAGATTTTTCTTTATTCTGTTCTACCCTCGACTGTTAGCCAATTAAGTCGAGCATTTAGTCAACTAAAATGCCGGCAGCTAAAAGTTTATGTTACAATTTGTTATTGTTGTGTTGTTGGTGCTGCTCTTGTTATTGTTGCCAGCTACTTGTGTTTGCTTAGCTTTTCTTTGCTTTCTTTGCTTTCTCTGCTCCTTTCTTCGCTCTCGGCAGTGGAACAACAACAATAACAATAATAGTGGCGGCAACACAAGCATCCGAGGAAAATCTTGAAGTGTGCCGCAACAGCGATTGTTGACTGAAAACCGAAAAAAATCGCTCATTGAATATAAATTAGCTGCCTTTAATTTTTTAATAAATGCTATTTAAATTTAGGCACTTGATTTATTTATCAGTTTTATTATAAAATCAAACTTTCGAATTGATTTTCAATAATATTTAGTATCAGATAATACAGGATGATTTTTCAATTTTCTCTGTGTGTTAAATAAAATTAAAAAACTTCGATTTCCCCAAATCTCTGTTATATTATTTAAAATATTTTTCTTGGTGTATTTTTCAATTGTCGTTACTGAGCAGAATGCAGCAATGAGAGAATAGAACTGTAACTAAATGAGTAAGCCAAATGAATGAATGCATGTGGCTTGACTTTCGTTGTCCGCATTGTTGTTGCCTTCATTGTAGTTTTTCTTTTCTTCGCCATTGATGTTGTTGTAGTTGCCATGGCGCATTTTGCATACAAAATGTGAACTGAAGTCGGTGAAAGGATAAATAAGAATTCCAAATGGTTGAGCTTCCCTGCCTCTTTCTGTCAATGCTGCATTTCTTTTCGTTGGCACTGCATCACAATGTTGGAAACGTTTAGTTTTTTCCTGAATTTTTTCCCCCTAGCCTTTCTGGCAAACATCGCGTATACGCGATGTGGATTGCTACCCCTCCTTGCTCCGCTCAATTAAGACTGGTCGAGGTTTTAATCTCTTCACAATCTTGGTGCTCTTATTGTTGCTTTAGCCTTGGTTTGTTTTTGCTTTTGTTTTGCCTTTGGCTTTAGCTTTGGCTTAGCTTCCAGCCATTGTTTAAGCTTGTTTCTTTGCCTCCTCTCCTTCAGTTTTTCTCTTTCCCAACGTCTCCCAGTCCTGGCTTATTTATTTTCTTCCAGCGAATTTCTTTTCTTTAATAAGACTATC